CTCAATATAATATTTGTGAATTCTTTAAAGAATTTCTGTGCCACAGATGCCACTAAACTAAGTTAATTTGAATCCGACTGCATTTATAATATTGAGGTTGAGCACTAATAGAAGAATCGGCTGTCGTTAAGACCACTAGAGCACCACAGCTCCCCCATCTGAGACACACAGAGAGAAAAGGTAGTCAAACGGTAGAGAGAAGGGTTCAATAGAGGTGATGCATCGCCATGGCAACAGTGGACAGCATCAGCGAGTAATTGCTTCCTGTGATTGTAGCAGTCTCTCTCTCTCTCTCTCTCTCTCTCTCTCTCTCTCTCTCTCTCTCTCTCTCTCTCTCTCTCTCTCTCTCTCTCTCTCTCTCTCTCTCTCTCTCTCTCTCTCTCTCTCTCTCTCTCTCTCTCTCTCTCTCTCTCTCTCTCTCTCTCTCTCTCTCTCTCTCTCTCTCTCTCTCTCTCTCGGAGGTAAAAGCTGACCATCTGATGGCATCCCTCTTAAAAACACATCTGTCAGGTACTCATTAATTTGGAGACAAAGACTGCACCAAACACTTCAGAAATAAGCTTGTAAAGGAAAAAACTGATTTTTTGCTCATTACTGTGCGTTAGATATGACAAATTAAATGTCTACGTACTGTTCTATCTATTTTCAAAGACGCTTTGGTACAATGCTTCGATACACGACACATTAAAAGTTTGGACATGTTAGACTAAAATGTTTCTTATGATCTTAAACAAAATTGAAATCTAAAGGCTCACACTTCAATGCTTGACATTTATTTTGTAGACAGAAATGAACTGTCCCTACTTAAGTTTTCTTTTCAAAACCTTACATAACCTTTACTTACTTTATGTGCGTAGTTAAACGTACGTAGGAGAGAGTGAATACAAAGAAGTTGGCTGGAGTCCCATTAAAAGTTGGCCAAAGTTTGCCACACCAAGATTGTTATGCATTTTAAATGACTAATTTCCTCCTCCTTTCTGAGCCTTCAGGCCCGTCCACACCAAAAACAATATACATAATGATAATGATAAAGATATAGTTCTAAAAAACGTTCTCAATATTAAAGAATAGACACTTTCAGAACGGTTTTATCCAGCTGATGAACGATAAAAACATTGACAGCCAATCAGAATCCATCCTGCTGTAACTAGCTCGAGCATTTAAAACAGCAGACAAGAACGCGCGTAGAATAAACAGAACGATATCATCCACTGGTGTGGACGCTAATATAGTTATCGTTCTTGGTGTGAACGGGCCTTTAGAATTAAACAATTAAATATATTAATTTACTGTGAAAAACAATACAAGTGTTCACAGAATCTTTTTTTTTTTTTTTTTTATTCAAAATGTACGGCTGCCCGATATATTGAAATAAAAGCGATGTTGTGATATGGCTTAGTGCGATTGTGATTTAATGAAGTAAATATTTGTGGTTTCAGAGCGAAGCGCATCATTTAGACACGTGTAGTTTAAGATGTTGTGTTCACGCTTGTCAGCTTTGGTTGGATTAAAACGAACTCTGGTGCGATTACTCTGTTAGTGCGGCTCATTTGATTAAGTGTGAACGCTGCCATCGGAACCCTGGAGCGCACCAAAAACAAACTGTTTTGCATGTGAAAACCACTGCCATAGTTCACACTTTCAATTCATTCAGGAGTATCCAAGTTGCTGAATACTGTTGATATTATGCAAATGTCATGGTTGATGGTAATGGTATAGCCAATATAGTGCCATTTTCACCGTTTCAATAAATAGTAAAATGAGCCTATTTTTTTTAAAGTTTCACCTAAACCTTATGTTATAATAAGAAATACGACAACACAGGGGAAAGAAAGGAGGCTCAGTGCTATTTCTCGGGGTCTTTGAGTTATTATGAGTCACTGCCAATAGAGGGCAGTCATCAGTGCTTTGGATGGATGGATGGATGGATGGGAATTCATTATCATGTTGGAGACCCCAGCTTAATTATAGATTTCATTCATATTTCATTCTGCTGCCACATGTCTGACTCATAATTTCAGATGTCTAATAACGGCAACAGCAGCCAAACTGATTCAGGGACGCCCTGAGAGGCAGTCAAATGAAACCAAAACTGACACGCCAACGTCCAGAGGCCTGTCAACATCGACACCGTCCTGACTTCATGGATCTGCAATGCTTAAACCCCAGAGATGTTGCTGAGCAATGATATGAGAACTGTGCAGAGACGGTTGAGATTACAAACTGTTAAAGCCCCCCTGTGGTGAAAATCAGGCTTCTAATGTTGTTTGTATGCCTATGTGGTGTTTTTAATATGCTTTAAGACAAACCATGTGCGAATTCATAAGGCAACAGTAAATACTCAGTAATTGCTAAGTAGTAAAAAAAAGACCTCACAAACTACCTTGTAACCAATCAGGTCAACGTGTGATCGTCAACGAGTGGATCTCTGAGCTGCTGTGAGTGAGTGGAGGCGGGGCTAATGTGCACATTCATAGACCCACTTATACTAAATGAGGCAAGGGTGTAGAGTAACATTCAAGCTATTTTAAGGCATGAAGAAATTTGTTTTCAAGGAAAAAACCTTTAAATATGTCAAAATAAATGTTGGTGATCAAAGATGAGTTAAGGGATAAGATTATTGTCTACAGGGAGACATTAAAGTGAAAGCAATTACTTCACTATTTACTTCCTTAAAGTCCCCGTGAACCGGAAGTTGCAAACGACTTTTCTCCAGTGTTGTGACGTATTTCCGAGAGAAACGGAATACTAAATGAGGCAAAATAGTGGGCGTGGCTTTTTTTCCCAACTAGCACCTGATTGGATCTAGAAAAGTAGGTGTTTTCATTCAGCCTGTCTACTGTCAGTTGGAGGGGCGTGATTACGGATGTTAAGCAGACACCCAAACAGTCAAACCTACGTCATCAGGGAAGGTCCTCCAATGCAGAGGGGAGAGGAAATTTCAGATTTTGATTAAAGATTACGAAGCCAAAAAATGTTTTTGTGTGGATTGACTTGCATGGATGAATTGTTCACCACAAAACGATCAATTTAGGCAAACAAAGTAAGTATGGTCAATTTTGAATTCATGGGGACTTTAAAGCAACACCAAGTAACTTTTCCTCTGCGGTCGCCCTACAGGTTGGAAGCGGAATTGTACATTACCGCTGTCGTAAATAATTTAGCCTATCGCAGCCTACTGTCGCACGCACGCTCTTTATTTATCCAGCACCGGCTTTGGAATGAACGATGTCCACAGACAAGGTAGAGTGTGTTGATTTCATGAAAGTATGATGTATTGCGACATCAGAAATGAAGAAAAACAAAATAATGACTATTGTAACGCTTGACGTAAAGCAAGTCAAATTTGTAGTTTTCTTATGTCTCATTAGAACTACAGAAACGCGACCTGTTCTGGCAATCTTACATAGCGTGGTTATAGCAGATATAGGACCGCAAAGCGAATCCAGAAGTGCCTTTCACCCTGTTACGACTTGATGAACCACTGAAACGATTTTGGAAACATTATTTTAAGGTAAAAAAATCTTACTTAGTGTTGCTTTAATGTGGTACCGAATTATTGTGCACAATTCACTAGCCTATCTTTTAATAAATATTAAACATTTTGTAATTATTTACAGACGCTCATGTCATTCCAAACCTATATGCGGTTTCTGAATAACATGTATGTTATTTATAATTTAATACAGTTCACAGCAACCATATCTATCCAGGTCCACAAAGAATGAAGAGAGAGAAGAAAAAAAAAAGATTAAAGTGGTCTATAAAACTAATGCACTATATTCCAAGAAATATGATAGCTTTGTCTGCCAAACAGTAAAACAAAAACAGTTTAAGGTATATGAGTTTGGAACAACATGAGGGTTAGTAAATAATGATAAAATGTGCATTTGCATCTGCACCAAAACATAATCCAAGAAAACAAGAATGCTTGGCCAACAAATTACATGCATTAGGCTACAGTGCGTTTTCTTTTTTCCCCCAAATTCTGTTTTCCGTTTTGTTTTTCTGGATTCCAGTTCAATGGTTCAATTCAATTTGAATCAACAAAAAGCATGTCTGTCTAATCAATTTCATTCATAAACCATTAACAATTTATTGCAATGTAAACATTGTGCGCAACACTAGCTAACGTTAGCTTAGAGATCAAATCCACTAACGTCAACAAGCGAACCGAACAAAACAGACTCCGACACAAACTGAAATAAAAAGGGTTTCTCTTTCACAGTAACATAAACAATATTAATGTGTAATGATTTAATGACGTCAAATATAAAAACACATGAAATGAATGCTTATACAATGTTCTGCCGAAAAAGCTATTCTGTACTGCAATGTGTCATGCAAAGAAATGGCATTAATTAAAACTATAGTCTCACATAGCCAGATGTATATAGTCTATAATTTTAAATATACCTTATAATTATTAAGCTATCATAAAAGTTTAATTTTAATTAACGCATCTGAGAACATGATGCCGGTGAATTGCAGAGCTGATGCAAATATATCCACATCGCTATGATCAGATGTTTCTTAACTGCTGCTTTCTCACCGCTGCCAGTTTTGTTGCGTGTTTATTATGTTATTAAGAGGAAAGAGCACAGCACATATTTACATATTCATCTAAACGTCATCTAGACTGTGTCTAAAATGAATCAGACCAAACTTTGCCACTCATTCACTCTAAAGTCAATATCAGGAATTTAACTGTACAGCCGTACTTATTTACCAATTCCATGACATTCTGCGCTATAAGTTAAATTCCATTCCGCAATTCTGTCCACTTTTTTGCATCACGGAATTGCATCACGGAAATCATATGGCCTAATACTAACGCTTCTATCTTTGCAAGCACGATTTCAAATGTTGCATTCAGAAATGTCAGAACACAATTCATGTGTTGCAAAGAGTATATTTTAGACTTTGCTCTGCGTATGTTCTTATGATGCGTTGCCCAAGCATTCATAGTCAAGCTATAAAGCCATAAAACAGCATCTTACCCAGATCAGTATTAGGGCCGGCCAGAACCTGTCTGAACTTGTCGAGTCTTGACGCCTCTCTCTCGGTCATGACAGGAGTCCCGGATGTGTTCTGATCCGCCATGCGGGCCACCAGTGGAATCGTGGGCCTGTGCGGGAGTGACTGCTGCCTGTGTAGTGCTGCCTGTTCAACGCCCACTTCTGACCCACAAACAAGAGAAAACACAGCTGTAATGAGAACAAACCACTGCCTGCACATGCCTCAGCCCATTAAATGTAATAATGGAGGCCATTCATGACACAGTTTGCCCCGAGTTACCCCAAAATGCTCAGCTAGTGGTAATGAAACACTTATACTCACTACGGATGAACCTTATATTCGGAGTGCCATCATCATTACGAGTGGGAATCTTTTAGCATCACACGATTCAATTCATTTAGATTCGATTTCTATTTTAATTTTAATTTACGGAGTCATTACGAGATTGCATACGATTCTCAATGTACATTCTTCAGCAACAGCACAGGGACCGATCATTTGTGAGTTAAACCTGGCACATCTCAATTTGTGGAAGCAAGCGCACTTTAATCCTATTAGATGAATTTCAGGGAAGGCTGGCTGAGAAGATGCACATGCCAGAGTACTTACTGTAATTAATACTGTATACATATTAAAAACACTTTCCTGCCCAACAGTTTGCTCACCGATAGTAGGCATTTAAAAACAAAAATCTTGCTTTATTTAATAAAACGGAATTGGAATTGAACGGCTCATAAGTGTGTGCTTAATATGCAAGCCTTTTGTACATTAAATACAAACGTCAAGACTTTGAAAAAAGTTGAATGTGTTCTCACTTCATAAAACAAGTTTATTGATTATTATTATTATTATTATTTTATTTTTTTTACTATTTTTAAAAACGACATCTTTGGTTTGTATGTCTTCAGTTTTGATTTAATTAATTTTCGTTTAATCATTTTTGTTTTGTGCTTTTGATCTTTTGATTTATCATACATTTACAAAAACATACAGACTACACTCATTTATTGATTGATCGAATGATTTATTGATATTTTGCATAAATAAAGTTTAGTCCCAGAGACACACAATTTAGTTCCACACAGCCAGTCTATACGCGGGTCATTGTTTTTACCTCAGGTAAAATATATACATTACACACACACACAAACATGCACTTTATTCTGTGTCAATTAGTGGGTAAGAATAAGTATGTTTAATGGGTTCACGGGTACATTCTATGGTATAAGTACCTATTTTGGCAGTGAATCACAATGCATCGGTGAATTGATTTTGTCCTAATGCTTCATAATCATGCTGTCCAAACATTGTAAGCCACTGTAAAATGTGATTGTACGCTTGTTAGAGGCATTAAATGGATGAGTTTGAGATATCATTCTTGCATTAAGCATCATAACATCTTCAACGTTTACAGATGTTCGTGTAATCCCTGCAGAAATTAGACGGTGCGTGACGGCTGCTGACAGTGTCAACACAAGATACTATTAAAACAGAGGCAGAACACGTCAACAGGAAGTCCATTATCACAGTCATCCATCGCCACTCTGGCTGGCAAAACAAAGGACTGGCAGAACTGTCTGTCAGTGCAGGTACTTGTGGAAGCACACAGTCCCTGTCTGATATACTCAAATACTCATAGCAAAACAATTGTTTCGTTCTTCACTCAGAGGTTAAAATTTTGAAATTCCCTAGGTTGGTGAAATACCCGAGTTAAGGCCGTGACACCCCGACGTAAAAGAACTAGCGGCGTAAATAACTATCTATATTAGCAGGTATCAATAGTCTATATTTCTCATTCAAAAAGGGAAACCGAAACTAGGACTGCAGAGATACAAACCGTGAATAAAGCAGCGCTTTCTTACCTTTTTAAACATTAATGACGCTGATCACTTTCTTCACTCTCATGTTGTTATGAAAATATCCGTGCATTGGAATGTTCAGGTAAGATGATGTCAAATTAGAACGGGCTTCTGTCTGCAACGTCTTGACTTCTTCGCTTGCTTTCATCGCGTTCACTTTTAATCTATAGTGCACTGAACTCTAAACTATGGAAGCTTGTTTCCGCCACAGAATGAAAAATAAAAAAGGTAATTGTGACTTTTTATCTCGCAATTCTGATTTAAAGTCGTAATTGAGAGTTTTAAAGTCAGAATTGCATGATATAAAGTCGCAATTGAGAGCTATAAAGTCAGAATTGCGTGATATAAAGTCGCAATTGTGTTCTAAAGTCAGAATTGCGTGATATAAAAATCGCAATTGTGTTCTAAAGTCAGATTTGCGTGATATAAAGTCGCATTTGTGTTCTAAAGTCAGAATTGCGTGATATAAAGTCGCATTTGTGTTTTAAAGTCAGAATTGCGTGATATAAAGTCGCAATTGTGTTCTAAAGTCAGAATTGCGTGATATAAAGTCGCAATTGTGTTCTAAAGTCAGAATTGCGTAATAAAGTAGAAATTCTGACTTTTTTTCTCAGAATTGCATCTTTATTTCTTGCATTTCTGACTTTATAACACGCAATTTGGAGATATAAAGTCAGAATTGAATGATATAAAGTCCCAATTGCGTGTTATGAAGTCAGAATTGTGAGACAAACTTTCCTTAGAATTGGACTTTTTTTTTCTCGCAATTGCGATTTTATATCAAGCAATTCAGACTTTATAACACGCAATTGCGATATAAACTAGCAATTCTGACTTTTTTTCCTCGCAATTGCGACTTTATTTCTCGCAATTCTGACTCTGATGTAAACTCGCAATTGTGAGATAAAAAGTCGCAATTATCTTTTAAAATGTTTTATTCTGTGGCGGAAACAAGCTAACATAGTGAACAGCCAATCAGAGTTCTCTCAGAGTTGCCGACGGACGGCGATTCAACGTGCTCAATTGGCCCCCAAAAAAAACCCGAAACAACGGGGTCCGACTAGTGCAGATGGCGCGGAACACCCCGCAAAACTGGGCTAGCCGATGCTCAACGACATAGGTTGTGACAGGGCCTTTAAGAAATTAACCTCAAAAAAGCTGAATTCTTAGACCACACCGGGACCAATGGCAGATCAAAAGCGTTTAACAGCCATTGCAAAGTTTTCTGGGAAGTTCACGCAGGTGACACGAAACGTTGTTTTCGCCAGATTTTTGTACAAAACGCCGTTGTGTTCAATTGAAGAACATTGAATCTTTTAGGCCTTCAGTGTCATGAAGATCTGGGATTCTAATAGTATTAAAATAAAGATGCTTTCCACTCAGTTTTCTATCCTTCAGAAGCATCAGAGAGAAAGTCTGAGTGACAGGTCAGTGGGAAAACACCGTATATTAACATAACAAAGCTCAGTGGCAAACAAAACAATTGATTGACATTTCACTGACTCCAATTTGCCTGTTACAGACTCTCGGTTAATTACCAGAAGTTAAAATAAAAACCGATTTAATGAAGGTCGTGCTAATTAGCTAGGAAGAGGACGAGGAGGAAAAAGAAATGCTAGAGTTTAGAAACAGGTCACAGGTTTGATCCAAAATCTAAACTTTCATGTAAGTCTTATGAAAATTGGTTGATCTTTCCCATGCAGAAAGGTCTTGCATCTAGATGACAACACAACATTGGAAATAATGATAATCAAGACTAATGTATTCTTTTTTTGTTGTTGGTGTGTTTTTTTTATGCATGTCTCTTTCAATGCAATATCATTTTATCATCTGCCAGGGGAAAATCTCCAGAAAGGCAACACCACACATCTTTTCAACAAGCTTTAAAATGTATGAAATTTATAAAACACAGAGGTGCACCAGAAACCTGAAATACCGCATAATAATAATAGCAATAATTATTATTATTATTAACATAAGCCATTGTTATTTTACTATTATTTATGTACTATTATAGTATGTATTAATATTTAAAATGAACTTTTAATTATTTATATTTTCAATTAATCATGTTATTATTTCTATTTAGCTTAATTTATTTATTTTTCTGTTTTATTTTCCATTGTTAAACTATTTTTTATTTAAGTTTACGTTTTTCATCTAATAAAATGGTATATTTTGCTTTATTAAATTGACCAAAAAGCACTTTTATTTGTTTTAGGCTACAACAACAACAAAGTGATTAACAAAACAAGCAAAGGATTAATGTCAGAGAGACAGACTGATGTTTGACTGACCTTTAGGCGAGCCGACAGGAGCTTCACTGTGGGACTTCACCAGTCTGTTGTCACTGAGTGGAAGAGCCTCTGAGCCGAAAGACAGATCAGTTGTCGTCTCTACCCCCTCCTCTCTCTCCTCCTCTTCTTCCTCCTCTTCCTCGTGCGCTTCCTCTCCGTCTTTCCCATCAGGCTCAGTCATGCTATCCATCTGCTGCTGTCTTCTTTCCTGCAGCTTGCTGTGGTTTTCTATCACCTTATTGGCCGTCTCCATGACGACCTCGATGTTGAGATTTTGGGCTGCCATGGCGAGAAGTTCATCATCATCATCTCCCACATCCCAGGCGTCACTGGTGATGCTCTCGAACTCTTGGAAGGTGGTGGCTTTCTTTGGTTTTCCTGGCGTAGTGGAAGACGGAGGCTTGTTCCCTGCTTTTATCAGACTGCAAAATATAGATGAGACTTTTGTTGATACAATATATGAATCAAACTCACACAGAACGCTGGTTTTCCGCGAATAATGGTTAATGATATCCCTGCATGTGGGGAAAGACAACTCATAAAGAACAGGGATGTTGTTCTGGTTTCTCTGACTCCCATTGGTAGTTGCTACATCACTGCTCACCTACAAAAAGCAACATTTTTCTCAAAGTTGGTGAATTACTAGCTTATGTTGCCCCGATTTGCCAACTCTCATTAAAATCCGAAGACTTCCGCACACTTTGTCACAGCAGCTGTCAGAGCAAATTGCTGTCATCATTTACTCACCCTCAAGTTGTTCTAAACCTGTATGCTTTTCTGTTAACACTTTAGAATACGTATGCAGTAACAAAGCAGCACTAATAAATCATTAGCAAACTTTTCGTTTTTAATTAATAGTTTATAAACATTGTAGTTAATACATTACTAGACTATCCCCTGGTTTCACAGACACGGCTTAAGCTAGTCCCAGACTAAAATGCATGTTTGAGCCGTTTTAACAGAAAGTAACTTGCACTGATGTATCATAAAATATGTCAGTCCCATTCGTTTGTCTCAAGATGGACATCGGTAATGTTTTTTTTCCTAAGGGATGTTTATAAAAACTACTTAAATATCCTTAATGAACTAAGGGCTAATCCTGGCTTAATCTAAGCCTTATCTGTGAAAGCAGGCCAATATACAGACAGCTAGTTCTTCAATCACTGTCACTGAAATTAATAAAGTGTTATTGTTTAATTAGCTCATATGTAAAGAGTTAGATAATGCTTTGTTAAAGGTGCAGTTTGTAAGAATAAGAGCTAGTGGTTGAAATGGGTACTGCAGTCCAAATTCAAAATATCGTACCCGCCCCCTCCTCCTCAGACTCGACGCTCACGCGGGTTCCCAGTTTGAAGACACGCAACATGAACCAGCGCAATTGACAATGAAAGCCGAGGAGACTTAAGCCGTAAGTTGATTTATCCGCGTTTTAATATGCTCTCGTTCATAGAGATTTTTAGATGGATACAAGGCTTTTTAGGTCGGGTAGAATCTGCAATCTCTGACCCTGTTTATTTGCTGGCTGCAATACGCTGTGTTTCCCGCCAACTGGCATCCCGGGGTGTCGAAATACTATTGTGTGAACTGGCAGTGGGCGAGATCACACAGACCAAATCAAAAACAGACATTCCAACACGGAACGCACATTTCAAAGTAAAATAACTGTAGAAGTGTTTTTCAGAGAAACGGGTATGTGAACTCAGCATTAACAACTTATTAACCATAAACAGCTCTCACTTTCGATTAGGTCGTGGGAAATTAAGAGCTCTGAACCAACCTTTATTAGACATTAATTGCATTCATATTCAGTGTTCCTTAAAATGTTTACAAATACATTAAACACACACGTTGGGTTTTACATGTTTTATGAGGACTTTCCATAGAAATAATAATTTTATACTGTACAAACTGTATATTTTGTCCCCTAATCCTAACTGATGCAAATTAACAACGTGATCTAATGAGTATTTGTATGTATTTAATATTGACAGCAGTACAGCGTGTCCTAACGACACGCAATAAAAGGTATCTTTTCCATGTTAATCAGAGTTTTTGTCCAAACCACCCATCCATCCATCCATCCATCTGTCTGTCTGTCTGTCTATCATCCATCCACCCATCTGTCTGTCTGTCTGTCTATCTATCATCCATCCACCCATCTGTCTGTCTGTCTGTCTATCTATCATCCATCCACCCATCTGTCTGTCTGTCTGTCTATCTATCATCCATCCACCCATCTGTCTGTCTGTCTGTCTATCTATCATCCATCCACCCATCTGTCTGTCTGTCTGTCTATCTATCATCCATCCACCCATCTGTCTGTCTGTCTGTCTGTCTATCTATCATCCATCCATCCATCTGTCTGTCTGTCTATCTATCATCCATCCACCCATCTGTCTGCCTGTCTATCTATCATCCATCCACCCATCTGTCTGTCTGTCTGTCTATCATCCATCCACCCATCTGTCTGTCTGTCTGTCTATCTATCATCCATCCACCCATCTGTCTGTCTGTCTATCATCCATCCATCCATCCGTCTGTCTGTCTATCATCCATCCACCCATCTGTCTGTCTGTCTATCATCCATCCACCCATCTGTCTGTCTGTCTGTCTATCTATCATCCATCCACCCATCTGTCTGTCTATCTATCATCCATCCATCCGTCTGTCTGTCTATCTATAATCCATCCACCCATCTGTCTGTCTGTCTATCTATCATCCATCCACCCATCTGTCTGTCTGTCTGTCTATCTATCATCCATCCACCCATCTGTCTGTCTGTCTATCAACCATCCACCCATCTGTCTGTCTGTCTATCTATCATCCATCCACCCATCTGTCTGTCTATCTATCATCCATCCACCCATCTGTCTGTCTGCCTGTCTATCTATCATCCATCCACCCATCTGTCTGTCTATCTATCATCCATCCATCCATCTGTCTGTCTGTCTATCTATCAACCATCCACCCATCTGTCTGTCTGTCTATCTATCATCCATCCACCCATCTGTCTGTCTATCTATCATCCATCCACCCATCTGTCTGTCTGCCTGTCTATCTATCATCCATCCACCCATCTGTCTGTCTATCTATCATCCATCCATCCATCCGTCTGTCTGTCTATCTATAATCCATCCACCCATCTGTCTGTCTGTCTATCTATCATCCATCCACCCATCTGTCTGTCTGTCTGTCTATCTATCATCCATCCACCCATCTGTCTGTCTGTCTATCATCCATCCACCCATCTGTCTGTCTGTCTATCTATCATCCATCCACCCATCTGTCTGTCTGTCTATCTATCATCCATCCACCCATCTGTCTGTCTGTCTATCTATCATCCATCCACCCATCTGTCTGTCTGTCTGTCTATCATCCATCCACCCATCTGTCTGTCTATCTATCATCCATCCACCCATCTGTCTGTCTGTCTATCTATCTATCATCCAGCCACCCATCTGTCTGTCTGTCTGTCTGTCTGTCTATCATCCATCCATCTGTCTGTCTGTCTGTCTATCTATCATCCATCCACCCATCTGTCTGTCTGTCTATCATCCATCCACCCATCTGTCTGTCTGTCTATCATCCTTCCACCCATCTGTCTGTCTGTCTGTCTATCATCCATCCACCCATCTGTCTGTCTGTCTGTCTGTCTATCATCCATCCACCCATCTGTCTGTCTGTCAGTCTGTCTTCCATCCACCCATCTGTCTGTCTGTCAGTCTGTCTTCCATCCACCCATCTGTCTGTCTGTCTGTCTATCTATCTATCATCCATTCACCCATCTGTCTGTCTGTCTATCTATCATCCATCCACCCATCTGTCTGTCTGTCTATCTATCATCCATCCACCCATCTGTCTGTCTATCTATCATCCATCCACCCATCTGTCTGTCTGTCTATCATCCATCCACCCATCTGTCTGTCTGTCTGTCTATCATCCATCCACCCATCTGTCTGTCTGTCTGTCTTCCATCCACCCATCTGTCTGTCTGTCTGTCTGTCTATCTATCTATCATCCATTCACCCATCTGTCTGTCTGTCTATCATCCATCCACCCACCTGTCTGTCTGTCTATCATCCATCCATCCACCCATCTGTATGTCTGTCTGTCTATCTATCATCCATCCACCCATCTGTCTGTCTGTCAATCTATCATCCATCCACCCATCTGTCTGTCTGTCTGTCTATCATCCATCCACCCATCTGTCTGTCTGTCTATCATCCATCCACCCATCTGTCTGTCTGTCTATCATCCATCCACCCATCCATCCATCTATCCACCCATCTGTCTGTCTGTCATCCATCCATCCATCCATCCATCTGTCTGTCTGTCTATCTATCATCCATCCATCCATCCATCTGTCTGTCTGTCTATCTATCATCCATCCACCCATCCATCTGTCTGTCTGTCTATCTATCATCCATCCACCCATCCATCTGTCTGTCTGTCTATCTATCATCCATCCACCCATCTGTCTGTCTATCTATCTATCATCCATCCACCCATCTGTCTGTCTATCTATCTATCATCCATCCACCCATCTGTCTGTCTGTCTATCTATCTATCTATCTATCATCCAGCCACCCATCTGTCTGTCTGTCTGTCTATCATCCATCCATCCATCCACCCATCTGTCTGTCTGTCTATCTATCATCCATCCACCCATCTGTCTGTCTATCTATCATCCATCCACCCATCTTTCTGTCTATCTATCTATCATCCATCCATCCATCCATCTGTCTGTCTGTCTATCTATCATCCATCCACCCATCTGTCTGTCTGTCTATCTATCATCCATCCACCCATCTGTCTGTCTATCATCCATCCATCCACCCATCTGTCTGTCTGTCTATCATCCATCCACCCATCTGTCTGTCTATCATCCATCCACCCATCTGTCTGTCTGTCTATCATCCATCCACCCATCCATCTATCCACCCATCTGTCTGTCTGTCTATCATCCAACCACCATCCATCTATCCACCCATCTGTCTGTCTATCATCTATCCATCCACCCATCTGTCTGTCTGTCTATCATCTATCCACCCATCTGTCATACAAATGTTTTTTATGTTTCCACTGTTCGATCGCGCCCGCGCCTCTCTCTCTCTCTCTCTCTCTCTCTCTCTCTCTCTCTCTCTCTCTCTCTCTCTCTCTCTCTCTCTCACACACACACACACACACACACACACACACACACACACACACAGAGTTCGATCGCTCCCGCGCCTCTCTCTCTCTCTCTCATGCGCGCACACACACACACACACACACTCCAGCATTGCAATCTTGACATCGCAGCCTGTTCATTGTGCGGTCACACCAAACGCGAATAGAGCGTCAAATTCGCGTCTAGTTCGACGCTATCATCTATCATCTATCCATCCATCCATCTATCTATCCATCTGTCTGTCTGTCTGACTGACGGTCTCTCTATCATCTATCCATCCATCCACCCATCTGTCTGTCTGTCTATCATCTATCCATCCATCCATACACCCACCCATCCATCTATCCGTCTGTCTGTCCGTCTGTCTGTCCATCCATCCATCCACCCATCCTCTAACTATCTATCTATCTATCTATCTATCTATCTATCTATCCATTCGTCCATCCAACCCATCTATCTATCCATTCGTCTATCCAACCCATATATCCATCCATCCATCCATATATCCATCCATCTATCTATCCATCCATCTGTCTATATCTACATACAGGGGTCAGACAATTAAACCGAAACACCTGCTTTTAGACCACAATCATTTATTAATTTATTAGTATGTAGGGACTCCTTTAGTGGCTACTGGCTATACAGCATCAATTCAAGTCCTTGAGATTTTGAGCTTTTCTCTTCCAAACAGTGGGCAGGTCACTATGTGATGCTGATGGAGGAAAAAGTTTTCTGACTTGGTCCTCCAAAATACCCAAAAGTGGCTCAAAAATATTTATATTTGGGGCCTCATGAATAAAACTTTCCATAGATTTCATCCTAAAAGTGTGCGTACACGAAAAAGCTCGATTTTGCGTACACACAACAGTTCACAGATTTATAAAACCTGAAATATATAGCATATAGTTGTTGAATTTCACTCTTTCACTCTGAAATATGTGAAACTAAGAAAGTAAAATAGGTTGCAGCAACCAGCACTGACTTAAAAAAAATGAAAGTGAAAGCAAAAGCATGAAACCAATTTTAAAAAGATCCTCTTCAATCTTTAAATATGCCAAATACATACACACATTTTCCTTTAAATATATCTGCACTTACTTGGCATGTAGCAGAGGGTCAAAGGGAGGATGTTGGGCTCCATAAACATGCTGGATACTGTGAAAAAAAAAAGAAAAAAAAGCTTTACGAAGCGTGTTTATAAGAAAAATCTGTCTTTATTTTTAACTCCCTCCTTTATTTATATGACCTGAAAACTGGTTTGACAAGTCAAGGTTCAAGACGTAAGCAATTCTTGATTTAAAAAAAAAAAAACAAGGCATCATTTAAAAGAGTTATTATATATATTTGTCACATGTATATCTATATAATATAATATAATATAATTTAATATATATATATATAGCCTATATTATAACATTTGAGGAAGTTGCTGTCATCACCAACCAAACTGCACCACTGTACCACGTAAATAGCATGGTATTTGAATACAGTTATCATCCAGAACCATGGTATATATCAATATACTACTATTAACGTAGTATTACAATTTTTGTACCAATCTGTAAGTTTCAAAAGAGGGGCCCTGCAGCACATAGCTAACAGGCTAATAAATGCCTTTATGAACTAAACTATAGCTTAAATCAGTATTTAAAATATTACCACCATATACACATTGATCAGATGTCAGTGCTAGAAGAATATAATCATGATCAATATGAACATCACTGAGATCAATACAAACATGGATGTGTACAGCTAGCACACATTCCCTGAGTTTAAGACAGCCTTTAAAAGGGTCAGATTTTGATGACACATGTTATTCTAAATATTTGGAGCTCCTCTGGTGAGATCTAGCACTGACAGATATTGTTCGATTAGCTGAACCTCTAACTGAACACATATAAATACACACACATAGCTAACACACAGACATTAGCATGAACACGTCACTCACTTCCCAGGAACCTTGGCTGTGTTTCTCTTCCAGAACTGTTTTTTGTTGCCGTCAGCTGACATCTTTTGGCTTCAGAGTTCTCGCTCAAAAATTAATTTAGAGAAATATGCTGATAAGTTGTGCAAATTGTGCACGAAGAGTTTATTTACACCTCAATTCCTCTTCGGAAACTCAGAGAGCCGCCATGTTGGTACCACCCACTGCACATAAGCGCAGCTGTGATTGGCTAAGGGGTGTCATGAGTGGCTGCTGAACAGCCAATCACAAGTGGAAATGTAGTTCCCTCTCAGTTCCTTCACGAGCTTTTTGAAATATTTTCTGTTAGGGAATGTATGTCTACTCTAAACGAATGAAAATTATTTAAAACAAAAACATTAGCCAAAGAAAAAACCTTTGAATGCTAAAAAAAGAAGAAGAAATTAAATAGAGTATTGAATAACAATTTCAAAATGTATTGTTTGGGTCAAACTGAAAGTGTTTTCCATATGATGAAAGTGAAAGAGTACTGATGTTGTCAGGGTCTAAAAAAAGACAGAAACAAACAAACAAATACATAAAAAAAATGGCATTAAATGTACCGTAAGTAGTACAATAAATTTAGAACGATTATTCAAAAAATATATATTTTATTTGGTTCCTTGTTGCTAGTCACCATCTGGAATACACTAGAAACCACATCATGCCACTACATTAGAGAAAGGAGAATCAAAACTTTGCTTCTTCATGTCAATGACTTTATAAAAGTATGTCAATCACCCACATCGCCCCTCCTACAATGGGATTATGAGTGACGCATATCTCTAAACTCCTCCCACTTTATCAGGAAAGAGAAAACCGCTATGTAGCCAAACTGCTCAGGAGAAAACGAACACCATTATAGCGATTGTAGCATTTTTATAATAATTTAAAGCGTCGGCTGGTATAGTATAAACCCGTTTTGAAGATGAAAGTGAGATAACTAACGTGTTTGTGTTGTTAATAGCAGAAATGGAGAAGCAGCCGCGTCTGTTGTGTTCTGAGCTGTGTGTTCAACGCAGACCATATGAGGTCACATTAAACTGCGCGATTCTCACGTGGAAAGACGTACAAATCGGCCAAAAACACACCGGACGCGCCATATATGGAGCTGTCAAAGCTGGTGAGTTACATATCTAATACAATAATAACACTAACAGATATACAATGCGTCGTCTTCTTCGCTGCTGTTGTGTGTTCTAGTGGCGTGTGTCTCAAAGCAAACAGAGCTGCCTACCTAGTAGACCGCAGTTTAGGGCATCTTACAGGGCAGAGAATCAAAGTACGCAGCATTTTGGGCCAGCTGACTGTGATGCCCCAAATGATGCTGGGGTCTGGGGGACCAAGGGGGTGCTAGGGGGGTTGTGGAAAAGTTTAGAGAAAACTTGTAGAAATATTAATGGCCAAAAACGCTGCATACTAAATATTGCTGACTGAGAACTTCTGTATGTAGGATGCTGCTGATTGGAAGATGTCGGTGATCCCCTTTTTTAGAAAAGTAATGCGTTACGTTACTTTTGCGCTACTTTTTTTTCACCTGGGGTGGGCTTGTTTTTTTGTTGTTGTTTTTTAAACAAAAAAAGTTATATTTTTGGGCAAATGTAAAGACCCCTTCACACAAAAGTGAAAAAATATGTAAATTTTGTAAGAGTGTACAGTAGAGGGTGCAACTCAAGCAAACCTTCAGCTGCTGCTGGATGCAGGAGAAAAAACACTTACTTTACCAATAAAAAAAAAAATTATAGTAATTTTTGTTTGTGGTTTAACTTCAGAGGCAAGTACATTGGTCAATAAAGTGAGATTAAATGCATAAAAATGTATGTTTTATTTAGCATATTTAGTTATTGGAGGTTTGCATAGTATTCTGATTCTGCATTTCACTGATTTTATTAATTTTGAGGAATATTGAATCTTTTTTTTGTTGTTGTTTGTTCAAGTGCTAAATGCAAGCTTAGTCTAGAACTACAATAACCATCATGTTTACTCACAACGCCTCGGCACTTCCATTTGTCTCAATATCGGGACAGGAGAGCTGTCAGTCAATACATGGGAAAACAAAGTGACTTGCGTTACTTATTTGAAAAAGTAACTCAGATATGTTGTTGTAAATTTTAAAAGTAATGCGTTACTTTAGTTACTTGAAAAGTAATCTAATTACGTAACTCGAGTTGCTTGTAATGAGATAAATAATGCCCAGAAATGCTCCGATGTATGATCCACAGAAATGCAGGTCTATGATGCCCAAAACACTACTGACTCAGAAAATGCCTATGACACTCTAAACATGCTTCCTAGTAACTCTAGGTAACTTCCTAGTAACACATGACCTAATGTGCTGTCTACAAGGTAGGCTGTTTAGTTGGTTTGAATTGCAGCCAATTTTCTAGCCTCATTAATCATGACTCTTGAAATAATACATTTTTGAGTCTAGTTTCCGGACAGTAATAGAAAATCTGTGATGAACATTTATGTTAGTTGAGGCACCCACACACTTCAAGATAATCAGGCTGATTGTGGGCCCGATTTTCCCCTTCTGACAATCCTAGTTAAAGTCCTGATTATCTTGATGGTTCTACAGAGTGCCTTCTCAGATTTCCCTGTGCTGTGAGGTGTGTTGTTAAGAGTGAGAGAATCTGCTAGGAATAATGTCGGGGCCGCATCGATCTCAAATCGTAAGTATCCAAAATGTGCACTGAGTAGATTGTCACATGCAACGAATAACGAAACGATACACAATCAGAAAGCGAGCTGACGGAGGCATAACACGACTGCATCCAAACCTTTTTTTTTTTTTTTTTTTTTTTTTGTGTGCAAATTTTCTGTAAAAAGTCATCCAGACACCATTATCGCCATTTTCTCTTGCCCATCGCCCGCCGTGTTTAGTTTACTTTAAAGTCTCGTTAGATCACGAGATATTTTGGGAGATTTCCTGTGTTCGCAGTTGGGACTCTGTTTGTTTGTGAATGGAATCTGTTAGTGTGTTTTGTGGGGGGTTTTTGCACACTAGGAACAAAACTGTTAAATCTATGATTTTTTTTATTTTATTTAATTTTTTATCGTCGTGTTTATGGTCTCCCACATTTTGAAAATCTGATTTTAAAAAGCTTTAAGTGTGGGCATGCCTTAAGAATAGAACACCAAAGAATAGACAAATAAATGTATTACATGTGATCTGCAAGCCATCACATCATTACCGCATGACACAACCTGGTTGGCCTCTGCTGATCTTGCAGCCAGTGAGATTGCTTGCTCAACATTGAAATAGTCTGGTTCATTGTTTGCTGTAAGCTAGACTGGCAGCAGTTCGTCTGAACCCCTCTACCTCCCCCAGCTCCACCTGCCTAGATCTGCTACGGGATTTATGTATGTTATGCAATAGCAGCTTATCTTGTATGCTCACAGCAGTGTGTCTGTGTGTCTATTAGGGCTGCAACAACTAATCGATAAAATCGATAATAATCGATTATGAAAATCGTTGTCAACGAATGTCATTATTGATTAGTTGGTCTGCTTACGTCACGGGGAGTGTTTACTGGTGATTGGTTGAAACAGGCTAATCAGGATGCTCTCTGTCTTACACGCGCTTCATGAGGCACACACGCAAGGTCTCTCACCCTCCGCTGCTCTGCCGCGCGCTCGCGCTACACGGTTTGGAGCACAGTCTCTTCTGTCTCGCATGCGCGCTCTTGCTTGCGCGCTCAAATCCTGGGAGTTTGAACTAATTTGCGAGCATCAGGGAGCCGCTATCAATATGCGGGTGGGTGACTCCCAGAACTTCCGGGAGACTTGGGATGTCTGTATTTTGCGTCTCGAGCATCAGGTTGCGCAATCAGTTCGCTCGCAACTTAAGTGATGGATTAAAATAGTGCTACCGCAGCGTCAAAAATTGTGTTAAAACAATATGTTGGATATAAATGTTTTATTTTTATTTTACATTAATCATGGTTGTCAACTTGCCATCAGCAATTATCATTAAAAACAATGCAAATATTGATATTTGTAAAACTCAATGTGTGGCTTTTGCACTTTTTAAAGTACACTTTTACACATAAAAATCCTAATTTAGGGTTTTAGGTAACACTTTATTTTACGGTGTCCTTGTTACATATGTTACATGTACTTACTGTAGTAATAACAGTAAATTATGCATAATTACATGCAACTAACCCTCAACCTAATCCTACCCTATTCCTATAGTAAGTACATGTAGTTACTTAATATTACTCTGTACTTAAATATATAATCACACTGTAACAAGGACACCTTAAAATAGTGTAACCGGGTTTTATTTAGTCATAATAAAAAAAAAATCGAATTGAATTTTTTATCCGATTAATCGATTAATCGAAAAAATAATCGTCCGATTAATCGATTATCAAAATAATCGTTAGTTGCAGCCCTAGTGTCTATTAGCAGTAGCAACTCCATACTTGCATCATGTGACTGAATTCGTTCTGAAGTCTTTATATTAGGTGTCTTTAAAGCTGCAGTCCGTAGTTTTTCCTCTTTGTCGCCAAATCTGCTATTGCAGTTATTCGCGGAATTATCGAATTAACGTGAGTTGTACTTTGACACGGCACAGCGCGGATGAACACAATGTTTGAGGAGAGTGTGCGGCTGTCAGTCACCGCGCTGGTGTGGATACTGGCATTCAGAATCACAGATTATTCTTTTTGGAAGTATGACCAACATAAGAATTTTCACCGGAAAATGTCATCTGAACAAGTAAGAAACATCCACTTTTGTTCTGGTTCTGATATTGCAGTAAATCGCGCTGATTAAAGCTAACAATCTCTTATCATATCTAGGGCTGTCGCGATAACCGCAATATTGCAATACCGCGCTACTGACAGGCCAATCGCAGAGGAATGCAAGTAACCGCAGCAACCGCGAACCGCGTTTTCTTTTTTCATAAGGCCACCCTTCGTAGTTCGTACCATGTGTATTGAATATTAAGTAAGTTAATAATGATAACAATACTGTTTATCATGGTGATTTGTACAGAGGCTTCGTGGATTTGCCTAAAGTAACACAGTGAATGTGATCGACTGAGCCCGTGCGATTACCTGCGTCTGTCTTTGAAGTCAAGTCATGTTTGTGAAAAGGTTGCCGTTTCCAAGGAAAGCGAAATATTTGTCGTATCATCATTTTAACGTGTAAGGGTATTTACCATGAATGGCGGCAGCGCTGGTCAGCATTACACAGCGCGAGGAAGCCGTGGGGGGAAAGCAGCGAGTCACGCATTGAATCAATGCCATTGGTTTATTAAGTGAAGCATTGCTTCAGCTTTGCCCAAAAGTGAAGCATTGCTGGCCAGCTGAGCCTTGAAAAGTGGAGCTCAAAGTTAAAAAATAATTAACACCTTGTTTCATTACATCTATCATTTAAGGAATCAGCTTTTTGAACGTTTTCGTTGAATGAACGGTTTAATGACTCACTCAAAAGACAGTCCATTGGCGTAACAATGTGCGCGCTGAGTGACAGCTTTTCGATGCGCAGAAACGCCGTTTAGTTTCGGTTACATTGTTTTTGTGTATGCTGACCACATCATAACACGTATTTATATAGCAACAAATAAATATAAATAAATAAATGGCGATAATACCGCATATCGCGCTATTGAGCCACTCAAAATTACCGCAAGGGAAATTCCTTCACCGCGACAGCCCTAATCATATCACGCAAAACCGTGCAAATTATACTTTGTTCTCAAATTGTTCATGTTAACAACATCAGCATTGCGTGACTACATGTAATGTCCTTCCGATATATGTATCCTTGTTTTTGCATGGGCCCGGTTGCAGTCTCTTTTTCTCTGTAGCCACTCCGAAGTCCGAACAAAGTCTTTTGCATTTTACAGCGGGTGAATCTGTTGTCACTGGTGATTGTCGTTTGAACCTTTCTGGATCCACCATCAAATTGATAAGTTCAATTATATCAAGTGCTGTGAGAAAAGGCTATAAATCTCCACCTCCAAGTTCCAACATCCTCACTCGCAATATAGCCGACTAGCCGAGACTCCTTCTTTATGTGTACAGATGTGACGTAATGACTCAATATAGCCGACTAGCCGAGACTCTTCTTTATGTGTACAGATGTGACGTAATGACTCAAAATAGCTGA